GAGGCCACACCTCGAATCCTGTGTACAGCTCTGGGCCACTCGTGGCAGGAGAACACTGAGGTGCTGGAGCCTGTCCAGAGAATGGCAACAGAGCTGGGGAAGGGTCTGGGGAGAAACAGCTGAGGGAGCTGGGATGTTCAGCCTGGAGAAAAAGAGGCTCGGGCTTGACCTAATCACATTTTACCTCTCCCTGGAAGGAGGTTGTTGCCAGGTTGCGGTCAGTCTACTGTCCCTCTCCCAGGCAACAAGCGGCAGAACAAGAGGAAACAGCCTCAGGTTGCTCCAGGGGAGGTTTAGATTGGATACCAGGGAAAACTTTTGCCCTGAGAAGTTAATCAGGCATTGGAATAAGCTGCCGAGGGCAGCGGTGAAGCCACCATCCCTGGAAGTGTTCAAAAGAGGTGTGAATGTGACACTTAGGGCCGGTATTAGTGGTGATCGTGGCAGCTCTGGGTTAAGGGTTGAACCCAATGATAAGTCTTTCCCAACCTAAATGTTCTTTATGATTCGAGAGGATTGAGGGGAAGAACAGGGCTGGGACCGTGGGCAAGCAGCTCTACCCTGGTCCTGGCCCAGGAAAACCTGGTACCCAGAACCCATTAATTAAGCCCTAATGTGATGTTCTAATTGCTCTGTATAATCTGCAGCATCTGTGATAGGTCGCAGCTTCAGCAATTTCATAATAAGGTGTTTTCCCTCAACACTGGCAAACATTCCTTGTTTAAAGGTCAGGGGAATATTAAATAAACACCATTTATATTTATTTGCCTCGGATCAAACCACGGCTCTTACATTAATTTTGGAGGTTTTTTTGGCAATTAGCCTGCTCAGGCCATATTTGGAAATCAAACGCAGCATTTATCGAAAGGCTTGGAACGATATTAGCAGTCAGAGAGCAGGGGAAGGCGGGGGCTCGGGCCGGGCGGGGTGCGGCGGCCGCCGGGAGCGGCGCTGGCCCGGGCCCGGTGCCGGTCCCGGTGCCGGTCCCGGTGCCGGTGCCCGCCGCTGCATGTCAGTGTTGCACCGAGCACGGCAGCCGCAGCCTGCCCAGCCCGCGGCTCCCTGGCCGTACCGAGCTGCAGATCGCGCTGGGTTGGATGGGACCCCCCGCTCCAGCCCTCTGTCGGGGTAGGGATGCCCCGACATGAACGCTTCCAGGGACGGGGCAGCCGCAGCTTCTCTGGGCAGCCTGTGCCAGCGCCTCAGCACCTTCACAGGGAAGAATTTCCCCCACATATCCAATCTAAACCTACCCTCTTTCAGTTTAAAGCCACTGCCCCTTGTCCTAGCACTCCATGACTTGTAGAAAGTCCTTCTCCAGCTCTTGTAGCCCCTTTAGGTACTGGAAGGTGCTCTGAGGTCCCACCAGAGCCTTCTCCTCCGTGGGCTGAACAGCCCCAACTCGAGCTGTTTCCATAGAAGGGCTCCAGCCCCCTGAGTTTCTCTGTGGCCCCTCTGGACTCACTCCAGCAGCTCCATGTCCTTGTGTTGTGGCCTCCAGAGCTGGACACTGCTCCGGGTGGGATCTCAGAAGAGCAGAGTACAATAATCTGCCTCGACCTGCTGGCCATGCTTCTTGTGATGCTGCCCAGGGTGGTTTTCTGGGCTGTAAGTGAACATAAGCTATCCCACAGTTATCCCCTTTCCCACAGTGCCCCTCATGCCCCTCTGTCCCCACAGCAGGCACCCAGCCCTTGTCTCCTGTCCCTGTTCTTGTGGCCCTGCCCCAAGCTGCCCACATCAACGGGCCCAGGGCCCAGGCACTGCTCTGCCACACCCTGCTCTGCTTCTGTATGCCTTTAATCAATTCCTGGTGTTGCATCACACCCTTCCCTACTTGTTACAGCATATCAAGCATCTGCCACATGCTCATTAATTGGTCAATTACTTTATTTATGTGCTAAACGTTATCTAAAGCACCAGTCATTACCAGCATCATGGCTCTGGTTTGTGTTGTGTGTTTCTACAGGCTTTAAGGGCTTTACCTTCTCCTTGCCATCAAGGCTGGGGTGCGTTCCTGCACCCCTGTTAACCCTTCATGGTCCAGTCACCAGCTCAGTGCCATTCCTGAGCCCTGTGCTGGTCCCCACTGTGAGAGAGCAGCTCAGTAATCACTGCCAAGTTTCCCAGCCCTTCCTCAGAGACAATTCTCTTTGAATTTATCTTGTTTTCTACTGCTGCTTTCAACTCCTCCCTGCCTGAAATTGGGATGAAGTAAGAAAACCCTGAAATCACAAAAAACAGATGGTGGGAGAATCCCCCTAACCGTCTGCAGGTGCCACCACACATCCTGGTTTTGATCTGCTGCTACAAATCAGCTCCGAGTTCACCCTGAGGTCTCAGCTCTCCTGTTTGCTTGGAGGTGCCAACAGCCTCCTCACCAGTGGGAAATTGCTGCAGAGCAGGATCTTCTCCTCTTGCTCTGCTGTAAGATGTCCTGTCATTCTCAAAATGCCATGATGGCATAAATAATTAAAGGCTATAACACTTCAGTGGTAGAAACAGCAATAAATAAACTCAGTGTGTGCACCAAGGTTTCATTTTCCTGCCCTTGGTGTCAGCCCATGGAGGCACCACCACCCAGCACATCAGGCAGCCAGAGCCATGGTGCAAACCAGCTCTGCAGGAGCTCCCAGTGAGCTTTAGCAGCTGCACCAGGGAGGGGCAGAGGTTCCACTGCTGGAAGGTGTGTATGCACAGCTCCTGTCTCACTCTCCTCTCTGGGTGCTGCTCCTTGCCTGGTGGAGCAGCTGCTGCAGTGCCTGCACCCAGGGGAAGCTGGAAACCATTTCTGTTGATGCTGTTGCAGTGATGGTGCCACATTACAAACCAGCCTCAGTAATTTCTCTGTTGGTAGCTGATGAAATAAAGACAAGAAAGCCCAAACACAGAGTCAGAGCAGGACTGGGATGTTGATGGGCAGATCTTGGCCAAACCTGCTGCTCACAGGGCACACATCAGGAGTGTCCCAGTGGTGCTGGGGCTGCAGCCTGGGGCTCCTGGGCTGGGGGGATGCAGCAGTGGTGCCCTGGCCCTGCTGGTGCCATCCCCTGGTGTGATGCCAGCCTGGGCCTTTCCTGTGCCACGGAAGGCTGTGGGTGCTGCTGCTCCTGGGGACACTGTCCTCCCTGATACCAACTTCAGATTTATTATATTCTTAGTAAATACTACTAGGAAATTTATAATATCCATGCAAATATCATCTCTGTACTTAAATCCCTTAGGTTAATGGAATAGAGCTATCATTATCCAGATCTTGTTTATGTATTGCTGCCTGCAAAATAGAGCCCATTTTCCAGACTGAAATGATGGATATGGGCACCAAAGACATTTTGTAATTTAATTGCAATATCCATGACATAATATTATTTTAATAACCATAAAGAACAATTGTTTTTGAAAAAATAAATGTTGCAGTGTTTTGCACAAAACCTTTGAAGCAAAAACTATGCCACAATGATACAGTATTTATTTTATTTTGTTGTCAGGTGTGGTGTGCCGTGGGGAAGAATTGCTATTGGTTTGGATTTTTAGGCTCAAACTTGAACACTGTTGAGGTCTTGCTGCCACTGATGGCTCTTGGAATTTGATGCATTACTCTGAATTTTTCCTTCTATTATTATTTCCCATCTGCAGAAGTTTAGAGACAAGGTCATGCTGGGTGTGTTGGAGCCCAGCCTTGCAGGGTGCCAAGCAGCCCTGCTGCCATTGCTGTAGTGTGTGTAGCAAGTCAGGTTTTGGCCCAAAGTGCACTGCCCTTGTGGCCCAGGGAGGCTCCAGACTGAACCATCTCCTGCTGAAGCCTCGGCTGAAGACACAGGGTGGGCTCAGCACGTGCCCCCCTGCACTCGTGTACAATGAGCACAACTGGCAGCTCCCACAGGGATTGGGGCTGGGCTCAATCCCTCCACGGCCGGGACCCACGCCAGGCACCAGGTGCTGACCTGGGAAAGGTACCAGTGACTGCCAGTACATTTTTCCTGTTTCCCTGCAGCCAGAGGCAGCGCCACAGGGACACTCCAGGCACCTCCTGTTTTGCAGGGTGTTTTGGCCAGCAGATACCAAACCACTCAGGTCCATCCATGCCCACTGCTCTGCAGCAGTGCTACTGCCCAAGACCTCCACTGGGGGATTTTTTTTTATTTTTCAGAGGCTGATCTTCTCATCCTCAGTCATCCAAGAGAAGCCTGGTGCTGCTCCAGCTCAGCCCCAGAGGCCCTGGGTGCTAACAGCAGTGTCACCCTCAGTGTCCCTGGAAGGAGCCCAGGGAGCTGGATCCTGATGGGACCATGTGGGTGCTGAGGCCAGAGAGGTGCTGGGTGTGCTTTGGGAACACACCAGCTCTCTAACACCAGGATTGCTTCCTACAGTTCATAGCTTGTGGTGACTTGGAAAAGCTACACTGTGGGTGAAGTAAACTCAATAAATTAGAGCTGGGATTAGCTGCAGTGTTGGTGGGTTTTTTTTTCCTCTTTGTTTTTTCTTTTTTTTTTTTTTTTTTCTTCTTTTCCTTAAAGAAGCATTGTTGAAAAGCTGGGACTTGCAGGAAAATACATCTGTGTAATGAATATTTAAGGAATCTGTTTACCCACACTGCTGCCCACTGCAGTGGCAGGGCAGAGCAGATCCCAGCCTGGCTGCAGCCCTGAGGCTTCTCCCCTGCTCCTCACAGGGTGCTCCTTGCAGGATCAACCAGTTTCCACCATCAAGAAAATAAAAGATTAGCTGGTTTGCAGGTTACCAAACCAGGAACACCCATTTCCCAGCAGTGCCCTCAGTTCAGTGTTGGGGCCCCTGAGCTGGCCAGGCTGGAAAGGCTTTGAGAAACCTGGTCTAGAGAAAGGTGTTCCTGCCCATGGCTGTGGGAACTGGGTGATCCTTCCAACCCAAACCTTTCAAAGCTCTGTGGTAAACATCTGAGGAGCAGCCCAGACTGGCCAAAGGGAGTGCAATAGGGAGGGACCCTTTCTCCTCTGAAGAAAAGAGAAGCAAGCTCTTTATTTTTTTTTCTTTACAGTTTTATTTACAAAATGTATTAAAACTCTTTGTACAACACCTCATCAAAATGAGGCTCAGTAATTGATGTCCACACATGCAGTTTATGCTTTTACAGCCATTAGTTTGCTTGGCAATTTTTCTGCTCACTCAAGTGCAGTTTCAACGACCAAAAATAGGAACTTAAATTACAAAAAAACAAAAAAAAAAAAAAGGAGAAAAAAAAGAGAAAAAGGAGAGAACCCTCAAAGCCCCTGAAGCAAAACAAATTTAAAAAAATATACCAAAACAAATCATCATGAGACTACTGCCAAACTTCTGATAGCTTGAAGTTGGTAGCCAGAATTGGTAAGCACTCAACACATTTTAGATTTACATGCAAGTTTAAAAAATATCGAACCATTTACCAAACTCCCTTCACTGGTGTGAAGCCTCCACTCTTAAAAATTGATCTGATAAACATACATATTTTATACAGCTTTTAAGAAAAATGTTTGTTTTAAATACAACTCATAACTGCACAGCTTTAGCTCACCCTTGCTGGGGACGTGATCGTGTTCAGAAGTTGAAAAAAAAAATCAGAGTTTCATGAAAACAAAATGAAAACAAAACAATTTTTTGTCAATATCTCGTTAAAAACTTGAACAATAAATTATTTTTCCTATGAGCTTTTAAAATGATTTTATATTACATTTTGTTGGAAATACATATTTTTAACAAGACTTTTATTTTTTTTTTTGTTTTTTGTTTGTTTTTAAATCCTATTAAAAGTTCAAATCTATCATCAGCAAACTAAATGCCTAAGGGTCAGACTGGTTTAAATGAGTTTCTTTTTCACTGTATGTTATTGATGAAATAAAACTCTATCATAAACTACGGAAAATACATATTGTCGATTAGAGGTAATTAGTAAGCAGATATTCCATTGAACATTTCCCAAGTGATTGACAATATGTTTAAAGTTTTGCGTTTTTTTTTCTTTTCCTGTTTTTTTTTTTTTAATTTTTATTTTTATTTTTAGAGATGAAGTTAAGTAGTTTCCAGGCAGAGGTTCAAGGCTGAGATGCTGCTGCTGTCTAAGATGTTGGATGTGGGTAACAGCGAGCTGCTCCCGAGCAGAGGCGGCCGGAGCGCGGCGCCCTCCTCGCACAGGGGCAGGGCCAGGAGCAGCCTCTCCCCAGGCATGAAACAAGAGTTGGCAGGAGCTGATATAATATCACAGTACTAGCAGGAGTCATGTTAGATCGCTTGCTATTACTCTGGAACTGCAGCTAAACCGGAGTTACTGTCCTCTCTCCTTGCTTCTGTGTCACAAGGAGCGGCGCTGAGGAGCGTTAGCTGAGCACGGTGCTAGCTGGGAGGGAACTGGGGAGAAGCAGAAGCAGGCCTGGGAAAAACTAACCTGCCTTTCTCTTGCTTCATTGCTTGATATTAAACAGTGAATTAAAATGCAAATGCACAGCAAGAAAAGAGATATATGGTCTGAACTTAAACAGCAAGTAGCTTTTCCTCTTTTTTTTTAATTTTAAAAGCCACCCAATGTCATTTTAATAAAGCACCTGTAGGTATGCCTGATGATAGAACAAAAAAAAAGGAATGCAATATTTTCTTCCACACTTTAGCTACCTTGTCAAGAAATTAATTTACTGATCTGGAAGCAAGACATGCAGTTCCACAAATTACTTTCTTTTGGATTTACAGATTCACAGTCATTGACCTTAATTGATTTGAATGCACGGATTCTTTCCCTCCTTTTTGCTGCTATACAGAATTGCTCAAATTAGCTGGAGAGGTTAAAGTGGCTCAGAAAAAAAAATAAAATGACACCACTGTAAGTAAATACTGAAACATCTTGACATCAGCTCATACAAGCAGTGGCAGGCCAGTCCGCGTTTGCACGCAGCAGATTTCTGAGGCTTGGTGTCAGGAGGAGTTTCATAATTTGATACGACTGGGGTGGCTGATGAAACCAGCTGCGCTTGCTTTCAGGACACAAGTTCAGTTACTGTGCAGTGGTATCAAAGAATGGCTTTTGTTGCACTGATCTTTTTTTACAAGAATTTTTTTTTTCACATACCAATATCTTGTTACCAGTCCTTTTCTTTTTCCCTTTGTTTCTTTTTTCTTTTCTTTTTCTTTTCTTTTCCTCTCTTCTTTTTCTTTTACTTCTTTGAAGCAAAGCAAGAATATTTCAGTGATGGTTTGCATTGTTGTGAGTCTCAGAGTCTTCCATAAGGCACTGAAGGAAAAAATACCAGTTTTTCCTATTAAAAGTACATTGCACCATCATCAATGCGTGTCATGCCTGACACCTCGGAGAGAGTACAACTGGCTCAGATGGTCCAAATCCACGAAGTAGCCACATTCTCTGCTGCTTTTTGTCTTGCATGCTGTCAGGGTGAAGATCTAAAATAAAACCAGAGAGATTTCATCACTGCCTGGCAGCGAGGGGCAGGGGTGCTCAGCCCATGGAGAGGCACAGACTGTGGCCAAGGGGCTAACCAGGCCTTTTCAGAATCAGTTGTCAGCAATTCAGCTCTACTTTTCCTGCTTTGGAAACAATGAATTCTAGTGTAGAAGGTTTGGGTCTACTGCAAGTTTTTTTGGAAACTTCCTAAAAGCACTTACCTGACCTGATTATAGTTTACAAAACGAAGAGATCAGTAACAAGAGAGATGAGAATTCTGATTATAGCGACTTTTAAAGCAATTAACAAAATACTATCATTTGAACTAGCACGATGCTGGAGAGAGGAGTTACTCACTTCAGCACGAAGCTACCTCTGTGTGTAAACCAGAATTGTACCTTTCTGATCCTACTTCTGATCAGGGAAGAAATTTAAATGACTCATACTTAAAAACAGCCACAAGATGGTGTTTCAAAAGCCTCTTACAGCAGCCCCCTGGTGCACACACAGAATAGCACAGACAGCTAAAGAAAGGACAGGAAGAACAACGCCCAGAGGGTTTCCTCCCGGCCCGCAGCCGTACCCCTAGATTTTCACACTTTCTGTGCCGTACACGTTGTAGCCTTCCCTGTAGGTAGCATAATTCTGGGTGTTGGTGGCAGGAGCAGGTTTGAAGTTCTGCGTGTTCTTGGTGAGCTTCATTCTCTTGGACTCAGCCCGAGACTTGTAGCAGAACTCGATCAGTGCCACCATCATGGCCAGCCCCAGGCCTCCCACAAGGATATAGAACACGCCAGCAACATTGCTCAGGCTCAGAGCGCTCGTCTTGTCCTAAGAGAAACGAGCCACGCTGTTAGCTCTGCTGAGAGCAGCAGGCAGGCAGACAGACAGACAGACAACAGGCTATTTGCATTAGGCCTAGCTGGAAGAGCTACACTCATGGTGCTCAGAGTCCGGCCCACGGACCAGTGCTGTCCCCCCATCCCCGCAGCCCGGGGCTGCACAGCAGTGACTGCTCCTCCTCCACCCTCTGGTGGGGGAAACCCTGGCTGACTCCAAGGCAATGAGGGTTGTTTGGCCACTGACTTCCCCAGGCCTTCGGTGTCCCAGAGCCTAGGGCTGAGCACCCCTGCTAGCAAAGGCACTGGGGGAAAGTTGTGCTCGTGGCTGCATAAAACAGCAGGATTTACAGAAGGCCATCACAAAACTAGAAAAAGAAAAAGCCAAACCACTATACACATGGGTTTGGTCAATGCAGGTAAAATTTGTGAGATGCTGCTGAACTTAACTACCTTTTTTCAACAGTTAGGAAAAAAAACCCACCCTAGAAAGATGGTCAGTTACTTAGAGGTCCAGCAGCAGAGCCCTGAGCTAAACTAGCACTTTCTGGAGAGTGAATTATTGAATGAAACCAGACATTGTAACACAAAAATCATTGGTCAGGGTTTATCTTCCTTCAATACATGTCAGATGGGGGAGAAGCTTGCATTTTTTAAAAACAAGGTTCTGGAATGGCATTGAATAGAGCTGCAACCCTTCTGCTGCTGCATGGGTGCGTGGCTGAGGGCAGGAACAGCTCCTGGCTGGCACAGCTGGCTGGGCTGCCACACCACTCTGGCCAGGATGGACGGGCAGGTGCAAAAAAATTTGTCTGTGCCCAGAGAAGGCACTGCTGACAGAGCTCTGTTAACGAGTCTCCCTAGGGAGAGCTAAATTTGCATACAGTATATGATTTACCTTGTAAGTGTCTGTGTGTTTCACAGACACTTTGGATACATGTGATTGTAGCAAACAACCTGCCATTTACACTGAAGATCTTAATCATTTATACCTCTTTTTGATCACAGCTCCCTTTGGCAGCTGCCATGTGTTCAGATATCCCATGATCCCAAATTTATCTGACACAACAGCTACTGGGCTGTGCCCTAAGCAACTTCCAGTCCTGCTGAAATCAATGAAATTATATTATTGGCTTCGCTGGAACTTGAAATTGTCCTCTGACACTGAAAGGGTGCTCTGAAATTATAGTTTTCTGTTTGAATGATTACAGAGAGCACTTCCAAAGGCACCAAGGGAGTTAGGCACTCAGCTGCGACCGATTTCAGCTGGAGCTGGATTCCTCCTCCTCCTGGTGCCTTTGAAAATGTCCTTCACTCCAACAAGCCCAGCACTTTTACAGAGTTTTTCTCCCCACTGGGTCTATAAGCATAAAAAATAAATAAAAATCCTCCTTTTAACTGAATGGTGTAAATAAATATTCCCCACAAATTAAGTTTGCAGCTACTGGGCCAATCCACCTCAGGGGTGGGACCTGCCCTGGGGTCTACAGTGGTCCTGCCAGCACAGCTGGTGGATGACAGGACAGTACAGCAGCAAAATGGTTCAAAGCAGAATAAAAAAGAATATACAATATTTAGGTAATGATTCACTACTAGTGTTTCTAGATTTTAAAAAAAATCAACAAATTTTAAAATGAATTGGCAAATAGGGCAGGAAAGGCAATTTTTCCTTATCAGCTGTCTGTCCTGAAAATTTGTGCCCTTAGCAAGCATGTGACTGTTTCCCAAACTGACATGTAGAGAACCTGAGCAAAAATTTTGAAGCAAAAATGTTTTTTTTTTCAATAAAAATAAGAAAAGATGCTGGCCTGAATAATAGACAGTGACTGTGCTGAAACTTGCACATTTAAATGAAGACACCATCTTGGGAGGCTTTGGGGGCTTCTCTTAGCATGTTTCTAGCAAAATACTCACACATATATACTTACAACTACAGTCTCTTACTGCATATAAGAAAAATGCTGTCATGTTCTGAGACTTATTTTTTTCTATTCTTTTCTTTCAACCTTCAAAATGTAAATAGCAATTTCTGAAAGTCATTCTTGGTATAAACAAACAGTGGGTCAAAATGTGATTGCTAATCAGTACAAAAAGACCTTCAGCGACTGACCTTACTTCCGGAGTCCTTGGCTCCACATTCACCCTTATCGTACCACCATTTGTTTTTCAGCTTGTCTAAGATGCCTTGTTCACTGAGTTTCAATACTGCAAGGTTTACAGGAGTTCTTCACGTGGGAAATAACATAAATAACATTATATTATGTTATTTTATGTTATTCAATCTTTAAACTACTTTAAAACTATACAAAGCGATAAAGCAGGGTTCCTGGCCACAAAGTATTTACACTGCAGGCAACTGGATCATCCCCTTAAGTTAAGGCTAGAGCATCTCTACATTACCAGGTCCTGCCCATATCGCTTTGAGTAATCGGCACTCACTGTTAAATGAAGGCAGTAGAAACAAAGCAAGGCCAATCTCCCCCTTTGGTGTGCCACAGGCACGTGCAGTAGCTGTACAGCTCTGGGTGGGTTTGATCCAGCCGGGCCCTATTGCACTGACAGACAGAATCCCCCACACCAGCCACTGCGGCTCCCCAGGGCCCAACAGCGCTCGCAGCCCCTTATCCCCGGCAGCCCCCGTGCCTGGCGGGTCTCTGTGCACACCTGCAAAGCAAAAACCCCCGGGCTGGCTCCACGGAGGGGACTTTGCCGGCTGCCACAGCCACGTCCCCCGGCGCAGGCTGCACTGCCCACAACTGCTGCACCTCCACTGCCCCAGCCCAGGCAACCGCAGCAGAAAATGAGCAAATGCAGACCTCTGTGAAGGAGCTGATGAATATGGAAATGCCGGCTCAAAGTGCCCAGGGTGGGAAATGCTGGCAGGATGAATGGAGTTGCTGACTCGTGCTGCCAAGAGCCCACAGCCCAGGGGGGCTGAGCTCATCTGGCCCTTCCGTGTGGGAAAGCAGCACCTGAGGAACTCTAGGTTAGGTTATTTCCACTTCCTCCTTGTGTGAAGTCTTGGTTTTTTCCTGCCTGTTTCCATAAGACAGGCTCCCTGTGTAAGGGACATCAGTTCCTGCTCCTGCTTGAACAGCTCTGATCCCTGCTCCACAGCTGCACAGGGCTGGCTTCTTATCCCCAGCAATGCTGTGCCACTTAGCACGGGATGACACCAGGCAGACACGTGCACAGCCTGCTTTGGGTCCATTCAGGCCTGCTGACAGCAGAGGGGATGCAGGAGATGCCCATGCCTGCCCCAGTGCCAGCCTCGTGTTTGGCTCTTGCTGCTCTCTGCCTTTCTCCCACCCCTGCCCAAAGTGCCTGACTCTCTGCAGAGCAGAAGAGACTCAGGAGAAAGAGCAGCAAGACCTATACAAAACACATTAAATATAAGCTAAATTGCACTTTGGCATTTAGGGAAACATCCCCAGACTGGGAGGGCTCACAACTCTGAGCAACAGGAATGGCTGAGCCCTGCCACGCCTGGGCAGGGCAAGATGCTGGAAGAAATAGCAGGTAAAGAAAAGCCCTGTTCCCTCATCTGCCAAGAATCTGCATTTGGGATGGCTGTGAGACTGTTGGTGGCTGATGCTGGGAAGAGCTGCTCTCAGAGATGCTCCATGTCCTTTGGCAGGAGGGTGGTAGCCAAGCCCAGGAAGCTCGTGGAATATCATGAGAAAAATTATTGTATTCAAGAGCTCCTGAGCTGAACGCTCCATGGGCTGTTCCAACATGACCCTGTGCAGTGTCACCCAGGCCAGCAGGGAGGCAAGAGCAGGGAAAGCCATCAAGGGTGGGATAACCACTGCAGAGCTTCCCAGCTGTCCAGGCAGAGGCAGCACCACTCTCTCCTGCACAGGGCTCAGTTTGACAGCAGCCAAGACTTTATTTTTATAAAATGGCTATTTTTAAGCCGCAGCTGTAATCTAATTAAGTATCAATCAGGGCTGGCTGTACACACTCAGCTGGACACAGCCAACGGGTGGCAGTGACAAGCCACAAGAGACAGAGCGTGTTTGCTGGGCTGGCACTGGCAGCGGGCAGAGCTGCTCCACCAGGAGCCAGCGGCATCCTAAAGAGCCAGCTGTGCTGCAGCTCCGCCTGCAGCCTCCTACAGGTAGGCTATAAAACATGAACGGGGTAAAAGCACGCCCCAGACACTGCCAGCACCCCGGGGTGCAGGGAATGCACCTGCCCCACTCGGTTACACCCATGGGGAGCGGCCAGGTCCGGCCAAGCCCCCACCATGGACCCTCCTGGGCAGCTGGGCTGTGTCGAGACCCCCGGTGACCCCCAGAGGAACACACAATGAACAGCTGTGCACGCCTGCAGTGCCAGCAGTGAAAGCTCAGCGCCTTTACCTTCCCCTTAGGAGCCCCAGCACAGAGCAGGGTGAATTATTGCTCAGAGAACAGTACTCTCATTTTAAATTTCGTTTAAAAACTATCCAATTTGGACACATTTTATGCAATACATCTCTCAGCTTTGAAAAGCATTGTGCAGCTGAGAATACACAAACAATAGGAAGAAGGTTATAAACACCTTTCCTCCTACCTGCATATTTTATTGTGCAAATTTTCCCCTCCCCCCAGTCCTATTCCAAACACTATTTTTAATTTGCATGCCTTTGTAAACCCCATACGGAGTGCTGAGAATTTGCATAACATCCAATACATTATAGATTAGCTTTCACAACATTATACAGTATTGGGAAATGAGGAGGCTTAATATGCTAATTAGGGTGCTTTATTTTTTTTAAGCCAAGATTGCAGCTAATTGTGCACACACAACTGCCAAAAAAAAAAAAAAAAAAAAAAAAAAGTAGTAAACTAAAATTATCTTAACTAAACAGATGGGAATTTGCCTAAACTGGGTTTTCATTATCATTTGTCACAGTCCTGTTTGCCAGGTGAGGTACCACATTCCCTCAGCCTGGGTAGGAGAGAGGTGATTTGGTTTCATTGAAGTCCTAAGGAACAATTTTACCTGCTTCCAGGAAATAAATCCCCAAACCTCCTAATGCAAAAGCTGTTTCCTTTGCAGCAGGATTTGAGAAACCTTGTAGTGGGAGAAGGCATGATGCCTCTGCAACTCCTGGTCCAGCACTTCAGGAATGCAGTATGAGCTGGTGCATGATGGACTCCTCAAATCCCAAATTCCCAAGATAAGTAGATATATTGGAAAGTGAGCCTGGTTGCTGATACATTTTCCCATCGCTCATCTCTGAGTAGCTGCCTAGCCTGGTTCAATTTAACAGTCAGAGTCAGTCATGGCTTTGGCTGAGATTCTGATGGAAGTGCAGAGAGCCACATCTGCATCCTGGCACTTTTCACTGAGTGCTCAGCAGTGCCCATGGAACACAAATCCTCTGTGCCACCCCTCAGCTCACACCCAGCTGGTCCCACGGTGTCCCTTGGGCAGCGCCAGCACCCTGCCTGTGCCAGCCAGACCAAGGCCACCAAGGTGCAGTGTTCTGTTGGTTGTTATAGGGGGAATTGCAAGGTTCTTCTAGGAGTGATGGCTGCTGGGTCTAGGAAAGGGATTTGTCATAACTTGTCCTGGGACTGCTTGACTGAGGGGGGACATTTAGAACTGCCTAAGAGGCAGAAGAATGAAGACATTAAATGACTTGTCTGGGAAGGCTGTCTCACCTGCCACCTACTTCTCTCACTGTGTACTTCAGAGGATCCTCATTTTCTGGGGCTCTGTCCCAAAGGACCTCAATTTCCTTGTAGTTTTCTTAGGATACTTTTGTGCTTTCCAGTTGTGTTTCTTTTTTTTTTTTTTTAAATTATGTTGCTGTTGTTGAGCCATATGGGATATCCTATTACGTGCTTGGCCCTTTCCCAGGTGGCTTCCACCGTTTTCCCATGCTTCAATTTATGATGGGATTCTTTTTCATCTCCCCTGTGTGGTTTCCAGATCTCTCTCTGTTAGCTTGGTTGCTTTGATAAAAAGTAAAATTTTCGGAGGTTTGAGAGCTTGTGTTCTCTTCTTGTGCTCTGTATGCCAAGAAAATGAGATGAGGCCATTTGGACCAGGATGTCAGCATTTTGGATTCCACAGGATGGTATTCTTGTCCAGAAACTTGCAGTGTTTTTCTTCCTCCCCATAACTGAAGGAGTTTGTTGTTTCCTTGCTTTTGCTTTTCATCCAGTATGATCTGAATCATCCAGGCTTAAGCCTGTGAGGTTGGCTCTCTTGGGTAGCTTTGCCAAATCCTGCTAAGGTTTTTTCTACAAATGACTGGAAGACTTGTGTTTAGAGAAACAATACCAGGAGCCTCATAAGGGATAGCACTGCCCTCAGAGGGGAATTAAGCCATCTACAATGGTTGTTTCTTTTAAGAGCATGACTGTAAGATCAGTGCCCACCTGTTTTATAGGCTTTACAGAGACTGCCACAAACATGATTTTATTCCTTGACAGAAGTGGCTTTTATTGGTGGTTCAGCTGTTTCGTTTCTCTGCCACCTTGTTAGGAGACTGTTCAGGTGCTGGCAGCATAACCTTCCCCACTTCAGCCATCAGCTACTGCTAGAAAACAAGCTGTGCCAGTCTTTTTCCAGATTTAATATGACACCATCCCAAAGGTGACCTCCTTTTCCTTTTGCTGTGTGGCCCTGGGGTCTCCTCCCTGCTGCACTTCAGCCTGTCTGAGAACAGCACACTAGACCCAGAAGCTCTCTGCACCCTTTGCTGCTGGTGGCCCCAGAGGACAAGATGATACTCATGGAATGAACTGATTTCTGAAAAACAAACTCATTAAAATCTCACTTCTGAACTGCATCCCCAAAGCTTCAGGTTCAATTTAAGAACTTGGGCCACCTCTCCCTCAAATTCAGGAGGTGCTACAGCACTTTGTCATGCAGGTTGATCTGTACAAAACATGGCATTGTTTCCAGGCTGAGTATGTTCACCATGCAGATGCTCTTTCTCAGAAGAAGGAGCTACTATGTGCTCTTCACAAAGCATGTATTAAATTTATATTTCATTATTACCCATCTTCTATTCATGCAATTAATATGGAAAAGAGAAAACACAATGACTCAGAGGCCATCCACTCTCTCCTCTTCTCTTTGAGACATCCCTACCAGTCTGAGGGATTTCTTACCTTACCTCCTCTTACCAAAGCCCCAGTTTCAGGTTAGTTACAGTAAATATTATCTCCACTGAGAAAACTGGTGGTGTTATAATATTTCTTTCCATTCTTTCTGGCCAGAA